TAGGAGAGCTATACTATTTTCTTCTTTTAGTTATAAATAATCTTAACTCCTAAGAACTATAATACCTCTCCTTAATTATATATTCTATATTTCTAGAGTAGCTTATAAGTAAATTTATTCCTTTTCTTTATAGCTTCTTTTTTACTTAGAATAATAATATTATTAATAAAGAAAATAATATATATTAACCTCTTTTTATTAAAAAAGAGGTATAGTTCTTCTTTATATTATATAAGCCCTAGCTTTATTAATATACTAGTAAATTCTAAATACTAGAGGAGTGGTAAGTCTTATAACCTATAAAGCGCTTAATTTAGTAGGATATTATAGTCTACTTCTTTAAAATCTACTAGTAAATTTATTATTTCTTAGAATCCTAGTAGTAGCCTATATAGGACTTTATTTAATAAGTCTTATCTACTAGTATATAAAAAGGTATTTTTAATATTAAACTATTAAGAATTAAGGTTATATTTTACTATAAGCACTATTATTATTTAGAAGGTCTATACTACTAATATAGCTATATATATTTCTTCTTAACTATTAATTAGCTATAAATCCCCTTATATATAGATTTATATTTTATACTTAATTAGGACTCTATTAGTATTAAATTTATATATAAATACCTATTTAAGAGGTAGAGTATATTCCTTTTTAATATTTCTATATATATAGGTCTAGGTCTTTATTTTATTAAGAGCCTATATTTTATTAAGACCTACTTCTTTAAATTAGGTCTTAAAAGTATGCCTTTTAATCTTATTCTACCCTTAAGGTAGGGGTAGTAAATTATTATTATAGTATAGCTACTTATCTTTTCTAATATTCTAAGTCTAATTATTATCTAATTATCTATTTTAGAATATATATTTTAGTACTATAAATAATATTTATAATTCTTTATTACTATATTTTTTTAGGTTAGTATAGTAGGGATTAGCTATATACTCTTTCTTTTTAGTAATAGTCTTTAGTAATTAGAGTATAATAAAGGCTAATTTTATCCTTTTCTATACTAGCTCCTAGCTATCTTTAATCTTCCTTTTAATCCTTTTACTTTTATAAATAGTCTCTTTAGGAATAAAGATTAGGCTTTTTATAGTTACTTCCTAAATTTCTAGTTATAATTTAGAGTCTTTTATAACTATATCCTATAAATATAGATTATAATCCTTCCTAATAGGCTCTTCCTAAGTTGCTAGCTTATCCTTATTAAGTAGGTATAGACTTATCTCCCTATTTTAAGTAATAAAGGGCTAAATTCTTATTTTCTAGGTATCTTCTATATATAAATCTTATAATTCTAGTCTTATTTAAAGGCTAAATAAATATATATATATTTAGTTATCTTCTCTTACCCCTAAGGCTAAATTATTAATATCTTTTTTTTAGCTTATATCCTTAGATAGTTCTAATATGTCCTTAAGTAAGAGTATATTATCTATCCTATTACTTATTACTATCCCTATATTATTATTATTTTTAGTTTTTACCTCTAATATTAAAGATAGTATATTACTTTCTAAAGTTCTAATATTACTTAGGTCTACTTCTTAAGTTTATATAGTATATCTATTAAATATTATAGTATCTTATATCTTATAATTACTTTATCTAGATCTACTTAAATCTTATAACTTATTTTAAGGATTTAGGTTAAGGATAGTGTTTTATAAAGTTATTAGGAGAAAATATTTAAGTCTAAATTCTATAGTTAGATTTTAACTTTCTACTTCTATTAGGGACTCTATCTCCTCCTTTAGTTCTAACTTAGTAATCCTATCCTTATCCTCTATTTCTAAAGAATAGAATATATTTTTATTAAATTTAATATTCTTTATTATAATAATATAGTTAAGTTAAGGTATCTATATTTAGTATAGGTTTAATACTATATAACTAACTAAATAACTAATATATCCTCTAAGGTATACTTTAAAGTTCCTTTTATTAACTCCTTTTTCTTATTCTTAATTAAAAGGGTATACTTAGTATCTATATATATACTACCCTTTTATACTAATCTTTTTACTAATTATATACTTAGTACCTTATCTACTCTCTTTAAACTATAAATTTATTTTTTATAATAGTGATTTATATCTATATACTTTCTTTAGGCTATTTCTAAGTAGGAAGGTAGCTATTTTTACTACTTTAGACTATAAGGCTATAGGTAGTCTTAAAGATATTATTAAGATAAGTGTTTTCTTAATAACTATCCTTCTAGACCTCTTATTTAACCTATTTAGCTTATAGATATATACTAGTATAGCTTTAATCTTAATTCCTAATTTCTTTACCTATTTTTAATACTTTATAGGAGTATCTTTATAGATTATAGCCTTTTTATTATTATATCTTATAATAAGGACTTTAAGGTTAAATTGCCTCTTAATCTATATTATAAAGTTCTTAATTATAAGGAAAAGGGTCTTAGTATTTTTAAAAGTAGTTAGAATAGAATAGATTAAACTAGTATATTTATCTTATATTATAAAAAGAAAGCTTATTCTATTATAACTTAAGGGGTATTCCTATAAATCCTACCTAATTCTTTTAAAAGGTTAAGTAGTAGATATATTACTAGTTTCCCTATTAATAATGTTTTTTACTAAAGTAGTACTATATACCTTATAATCTAGATATTATATTTTAGTAATTTAGTTACTAGTTAATTCTTAGATTAAAGCCTTAAGTAATTCTTTTCTAAGGTATCCTAATTATAAATACTATAAATAACTATCCCCCTTTCTAAGGAGGGATATTCCTTTTAATATATAATTAGGACTATATCTAAGGGTACTTAAGACTATTTTCTAAGATACTAGCTCCTTTAGTTATTAGATTAGTTTATATTTAAAGAATAGAATATTATCCTTCTTATATAGTTAAGCTATATAGTGATTATTCTTAGGTATACCTTCCTTTAAAGTATTATTATAGCTATTAATCTAGAGCCTAGTTTTAGCTTTTAGGATACTAGTTAAGATTAAATTTATATAGAAGTTAAGAATATAATAGATATTTATTAGATAAAGGTTAATTCTTAGCCTATTAGGGGTAGTTAAGATGTATTTTATAATTCTTATTCCTATACTAATAATAGTAGATTAGTAATCTCTAGCCCTAACTAAGATATTTTATAACTCCTTATAGGAATCTAGCTTAAGGAGGCTTTTATTATTTATAATATAGTATAAGCTATAATTATCTAAAAGTATACTTTTATAATATAGGTAGTAGTTTCTATAGATAGTAGAGAATATATTCTTTATAGGTTTAAGAGTACTTTTAGATAGAATATATATATTATATTCCTTCTATAGCTACTTTCCTTTACTTATAGATACTTTAAGGGTAGCCTATTTAGGTTTATTTATAATTTCCTTAATTTTCTTTACTTAGAATTTATTTATATTTATATCTAGTTTAGAAGAACCTAGGTATACCTTTTAAATAACATAGTATTCCTCTAGCTTCTATAAGTAAGTCTAATCTTTCTTCTAATAAAGGTAGTTATATCCTTACTTTTTAGATTTCTTCCCTTGTTTATTATTTAATATAGGGAAAGTATTCTTAGTTAACTTTTTATACTTTAATTCCTCTATATTTTCTTTAAATATATCTATAGTAGTTTATAAAGTCTAATTTAATATTAAATTATTCCCTAGTAAAGTGCCTATATTAATAAAATCCCTTTTTAGGGATATAGCCTATTTAGGTATTATTTTCTCTTTAATTATATCTAAGAAATTAATAATAGCTATTAATCCTTTTATATTAAGAATTTAGTAAAGTAGTACTATTTAGTATACTTTTTCCTATATCTAGATCTAACTTAGTCTATTTAATACTATCTTTCTAATAGTTATAATTTACCTATACTCTCTTCTTACCTCTTACCTTACTTTTTTAGGATTTAGAGTAATAATAACCTTTAATTCCTTTAGAATATCCTTAAGAGTATATTAATTATAAATAGCTCCTAGTTTTACTACCTTTATTTTAATTATTCTTTAAGCTCTTAGAAAAAGCTTAAAGTTTATAGTAGTACTAACCTAGACTTAGACTAGATTAATATTCTCTTACCTCTTTTTAGCTATAGTTATTATTTCTTTTTAGAAATCTATTACCTCTTTATAAGCAATTTTTAGGTCTATATAGTTAATAGTTAGGTATTTATCCTTATATTAAAGCTAAGTAAACCTATAAGGCTTTAGGTATAAATTACTATTAAAGTAAGGCTAGTTTAAGTCTATATAACCCTAGACTTACTTTAAGAATATATAGGCTTTAAGGTAGAGTTCCTACTTATACTATTACTTTAATTCCTTAAGCTTAAGGCTAGAATAGGCTAAAGTAGTTATTATTTCTTAAGTTAATATATTAAAAAAAGGAGAAAAAGAGATTAAGAATATTTTTATATATTTTAAATAAGTTTATAAGTAAAATAGAAGTTTTAAGTAATAAGAAGTATCTTTTATTATTTACTTTCTAGGCTTATAACTCTTATAAATTATATAAGTAGGCTAATATAGATATTAAATAACTAGTTATAACTAAAAGTAATTTTTATATAGTAGAGTTAAAGAATAATATATATTAGAACTTATAGCTATTTTTACCTTATTCTTTTTTAACTAGGAGGGGAAATTCCTCTCTTTTTATACCTATTTTCTAGCCTAGCTAATTAGCCTAATTATACTCCTTTAGCGTATCTTTTTATTACCTAATTCTGTTAGTAATTAGGATTAGTTTCTCTAAACCTAACTCCTTTATCTGCGTACCGCTATCCCTTTCTAGCTTTCTGCTATAAGTGGGTCTCTAGCTGATTGTGCGCACCGTGATCTCCACTTAAATCACAACACGTTATCTACCTACCAATGGCCTAAATTAGGCAGCGACGTCACGTGTGCCGCTTATGGAACCCCAACCCCTCAATCGGCAGTTACATACAGCCTACTCAAACTCAACCATTATATCATTCCGCAATGCCTCACCAACTTTCCATACCGCCGTGCGTCTTGACGCCTGCCCACCCGCATCATTTACCTCCGATACAAAAGCCACTTCGAATCAACATCGAGGGGCCAACCGTAAGTATCGGGAAGCTCCTTCCGGGAATATCTTGGCAAACAGAAGATTGCCCACCAGAGTTTCCCCAGCCAGCCGGGCCAGAGCTTGCAGACTTAACTTATCGTACGCTCTACGGTAAAGCCCCTGTTCTGGACACCGATTTAGTTGTCCGAGACGAGTATCTGGGCTGGATCAGGCGGCCGGTACCGTTAAGGTAAGCCACACAAGTTGACCACGTAAAGACGTTTTGTTAACTTTTAGTGGCTCTTGCCAGGCATATCGACTATTACGGAGTGACATTCGACCATCTTGTGCGTGAGGATGATGCGGATCCAGAGGTGTTGCAGATAAACATTCTCGAAATGGACGATGACGGAGGTGCGTACGCCAACGCCGGCCTACTATTTTCAGTAGATCCGCTACAATACGCCGGAGTGAGGATTCTTGCCGTGCCAAGATGCTGCCAAAAGAGAAACGGAAAAACAGATAGAAAGAGGGTGAATAACCAGGTCGAAATGCGCAAGGCCCGCAGTAATGGAATTTCGTGGGAGACCATCTATAAATCCATAATTTACCACAACAGCGGGGCGGGTCCGCAGTCCGAAACACTTATTGGACTCGCACCGATTCATTCAGTGCCGGAGTTCTAGGCCTAACGAGGGTGCCAGCCATGACTAAACGGCCATGGGCAAAGCAAACTCGCGAGCAAGGCCGACCCTGGGGGATAGCGGGCCCTGGGCGTCATCACGAAACCAGATGCTCTGATCCCGGGATCTGGAAGCGAGCGCGACTTCATCTCCCTGGCACGGAATCAAGACGTCGAGTTCCGCCTGGGCTGGCACGTCTTGAGGAACCGGGGCACGGAGGCGGACCTGGAAGTGTGGGCCTTTGAGCAGCGCGATGCCGCCGAGCTGCAGCTTCTGTCCTCTGGTGCCTGGGCGGGCCTTTCATTACAGAACGTGGGCATTAAATCCCTGAGGGGCCGGCTGAGTAAAGTGCTCGTGGGCAGATTTCTTCTGAGCTGCCAAGTCTTATCGACATCACTAAGTTATCTGCCGGAAGCCAGAAACGCCTCGAGAAGCTTGGTTTGCCCCGAAACACCATTTATGAACAGAGAATGTATCTCATCCAGATTAGTCAAGCCTTTCAAGCCTTGCTATGAAGAGCACAGCATGTTGGAACAATAGGTTCGGTTCGGTGTGGTAAACTCTAGCTGCTTTCTCTCAAATTCGCGAATGAGGTCTTCGGGGAGCCACTTCTTTGTAGCATCCAGTTGAATCGGCTGTTTACAACATCCGGGAGGAAACAGTGACTCGTCAGTTGTTGCAGCGCCAAAGGGGGCAGAGTCGTCCGACAGTATTGTAAAGGGCAAGCCGCTTGCGCGGCGGCTGTGCCGCCGAGCTTCTAGAACCTTCCATTGGCTCGGAGCTATAAAAGTGTTGTTATGCTCTCATATAGTTGATTCACTTTCTTTCCTCTTCATCTTGATAGTAAACAGCATAGGAACTAGATAGTTGAATCAACTTACTAGCAACTCGTCACACTAGCACCTGAGAGGAGTATTAATATATATAGTCTTTCTTTTAAAAAGATTAAGAACAGAGTTATGAAAATTTTATTTATTTTAAGCGGAGTGCTTTATACTTGGCAACGGAAGCAATGATATCACAGAGCGAACAAACCATCCAAAAATACTGAATTAAAATAAAATAGATAAGCCAAACTTGAGCAACCCCAGGTCCCTGGAATGATATGCAGTGGATGGGGCCCGACAAAATTTCTCTCCGTTCGTATAAAATGAATAAATTTGTCGAATATTGAGATTATAATCCGCGGCTAGCAGTCTTTCCAACTCAAGAAGGCTTTGAGGTCAGGCGGACGGTTCGACAGTCCTTGGAAGGGTCAACGACACCGATTTTTTCGCTTGTAAGAAGCCTCTTAAAGGCATCTTGGCGTTTCTGGTTGCCGGCCGGCTTCTTGTCATTTGTCAGTCATTGGCCCTTGTCGTTCATTATCCACTGTGTCGCAAACAGTCGGGTACCACTTGGTGTTCTGCAAAACGTCGGGTAACGCACGACGAGATGGCCTTTGTCCTGCTTCTTCTCTTGCTCCCCGACGACGATGGCATAACCCTGATATTCTTCAGAGCTATCCTCCTTGACCATGTTCAGGCTCCTTTATCATTTTTAAACTTCGTTAGCCAAAGGAAAGCAAACACATAACCTACAGTAGTTAGGATGGAATAAAGATAAACTTACGCTACTTTGTTGTCTTCAGGGACGAATTTCGGATCGACAAGCTGCACATCCGCCAGGCCAAGAAATGCGAAAAAGAGATTGACTGACATGATTCGCCCAAAGACGTCGAGGTTGACCAGGTTGGAGTTGAGATCAAGCGTTCCCCAAGGCGCGCTAAGGTCGTACCTTTCATCACTTGCGACGAGGTAGACGCCGCCATCCTTGCCGGCCACGACAATTGACGTCTGGCCATGGTCCACGATGACGCGATAACCAGTATTGCCAACCTTTGGAGTCAGGCTCTGAGAGACGTTTCTAAACTCGGGCTGGCTGTCTGCGATCTGATCCTTACGACCTGGCGATCCCGCGATGGCCTGGTTGAACGCCGTCCCGGCTCCAACATCCTGGAAATTAAAACCTTTAGAACTATAACGAGAACTTATGTAAGCGAAAACAATGACCAAGAGTAGCATTCCGATTGTTTTTGGAGGATCAAATATACCTGATGCAGACCAAGCCGCGCTCATAGATGATGTCGTTCCGAATGGGAACCTCGTAGTAATCGAGTACGGAAAGGTAAAGTTGATTCTTCACCCCGACGCGAATCTCGACTCCATTACTGCATGCCTTATCCACATTCTTGGCCACGGTGGCAGAAGCGTCGCTGGGCTTTTCCACCAGCCCGACAGACTTCTTCCACTTGCCGTTCAGAATATCAAGGCCCACCTCGAGGGCAATGGGAAGGCCGAGCTGCATCGACGCAGTGATAGTGCCATTCAGCTATTACGTATCAGAATGCATGGACAATGGATATATATGATGGCACAGATAGTTTCTTACCTTGGCGACTGGCGTAAATTCTGCTTTGAGACCGGTAAGCTCGTTTCGTGTCGAATTGACAGCATCCATAACCGCTCGACCCTCGGAAACTGACAGACTCCCACCGATGAGCAAGTTCGCCAGGCCGTTCAGAGTCAGCTCCAGCTCCGCGCTGACTGTAACCTCCGGCCCAAGCAGGATGATGCCCGGGATCGTGAGTGGGCTGAGTGGCAGGCTACCCAGCTGCTTTTTAACCAAGTCAATCGACTTTTCAGCCTGTAATTCCACCTGGATGCCAAACTGAGCATCGATAGTGAAGGCCTTCTTGTTGACTAAAGACACACTGCCCTTGGTGACACCAGCCTTGATACTAAAGGCAAGCACACCGTCGACGGAAAAATCAGCGTGAATGCCACATTTCGCGCACTGCACGTTGTAAAAGGCACCATTACGCCAGCTCCGCCATTGTCGACGTTGAAAATATTGGGTGGCTTGTTGGTCGAGGAAAATTTTGGTTGATAGTCAAATTTAAAATCATTATGGTAGAAGTGGCTAAAGGGGACGCCAAACGCAGCTGCAATCAGCTTTCCACTGATGATGGCGATTTCGACAATTACTGACTCAATGACGGCAACGACTTTGGCAAAGGATTGGAAAAGGACACGACAGACTATAGGCATGTTGGTTAGCCCGAGCCAAAGGTATTTGGAAATGGAGTAAAAGCAATCCGATTTTTCAAAACTTACTTTAATAAAGGCTTTGATGCCGTTGACGAGGGACTCGACAAAGCGTTCCTGTAAATGGATGGAAAGGTCCGTGCGAGACGAATGTGAGTCCACATGCTGGCTGCGCCGTTGCCGCGAGACGGCATTCCGAGCCGCGAGACGGCATTCCGAGCCGCGAGACGGCATTCCGAGCCGCGAGACGGCATTCCGAGCCGCGAGACGGCATTCCGAGCCGCGAGACGGCATTCCGAGCCGCGAGACGGCATTCCGAGCCGCGAGACGGCATTCCGAGCCGCAGTCTTTCGCCGGGACAGTTTGTCTCCTTCCTGAGAGGGGCTACTGTTGACGGGGTTGGCATCGGGGGGTCAAAAACAGGATCGCCGCTGTTGGGGTCGTCATTGGGGTTCTCCTCAGTTGGCACAATGCCATCCTCGTAGATAAACGGCAGGTCATCCTCTGCCGGTGCAGAGTTTTGCATATCACTATCGTCAAAGTCGAGTCCAATGAAGAAATCCTCCAATGCCATCGTATTTTCCTTGATATTTACCATAGATTGGCGCTTCAGCGCCATGGCTAGATACTCATCAATACCATCGTCATCCTCGCCGTCATGGTTGCCGTCGGGATCGTCCTCCGTGGGATGAGCAGGAGTAACAGCAGTAGGCTCTGGCCTGGCGGGTGAGTCACCTACAGGAGTGGTTGCTGAAGGCTGATCCCCAGCAGGTTCCTCAGAAGGTAACTCATCACCAGCCGTGTCATCGGTAGGGGATGCCGCTGGAGGAGTGTTACCAGAAGTATCATCTGGAGGTGGTTCATCACCATTCATGCCTGCCGCATCCTGTTGCTGATCAGGATCGTCCGGCCCGTCCATTCTCACATGTCCCAGGGCAGGCGCACGCTTCTTGTAGTGCGGATGTTCATACGTGCCCCACCAAATCTCGCCCGACACAAGCGCATCCTTATTTATTTATTTATTTATTTATTTATTGCTATTTAACGCCATAGGAAATCCCTAAAAAGGGCAAACAGCGCCTATAGGGACCTTAAAAACCAAACCTAAATTTTATAAATAATTCTAATTAAAAAGAAATCTATCTAATAGGCCTCTATAGGGCTTTTACTAGTTAGTTATTAGGTTAAGAAAATAAGGCTACTTAGGGGCTTATAACCTAGATAGGGAAGGATGTAAAAGGAGTATAGTTAGCTACCTATCTTAAGTAGACCTTACTAAAAAATAAAGACTTCTAGGTAAGCTTAATATACTTAAGCTAACTAGTACTAATAGTATTATCTATATACTAGTATTAGCTAAACTATAAAGGCACTATCTTTCCCTATATCTTCTTATAGAAGAAGATATATCTTAGTAACTTCTATTTACTATAGCTATATATAAGTATAGTATTAGGGTAGTAGAATTATTTATAGTATAAAGCAAAATCCTTATAGCTAGTTCTAGCTATAAGGAGGTAGTAAAGCTATAGGTAGCTAAGTGCTTTAAGCTCTAAGTTAAGGTAGTCTTTTATTAGAAGTTAAAGTAGCTAGTACTTATTATATTAGTTATTCTACTATTAGGAGTTAAGCCTCTTAGTAGTATTATCTATAAGTACTTTTTTAATATAGCTTTATATTAAGGTTAGGTTATTTATTAATAGTTTTATAACTAAGCCTTCTTTTATAAGATAGTTAGTAATTTTATTACTAGTAGTTCTTTAGTATTCTAAGACCTATTAAATATTAATATAAGTACTAAAAGACTAAGCTAATACCTAGAACTTTATAATTAAGCTATATAAAGATACTAAGACACCCCCTTTTAGGCTTATTATTACTACTATATTATCTAGGTAGATTATAATTTCTTTAATTTATAGTATTAAGTATTAAATAGTAGCTTAGAGCCTATATTATACCCCTTCTATTTCTATATTAAAGACCTTACTAAGGGGTATTAGTTTTTTACCTTTATAGATAGGGTAGGATTTTCCTTAGAAAAGAATATAGCCTATTCCTATATTACCTTTTATATCTATTAAGCTATTTAAAAAGGTGGTAAGGTAGTAGTTTATTCTTATCTTAAGCTATTATTAGAAGAAGCTAGTTTCTATAGCCTTATCCTAGTATACTTCTTTAGGGAGGTATACTAGTAGTTAGAGTAGTAGGTATTTAAATACTAGAATACTCTTATAGGTATTAACTATTATTATTAGGTATTATTACTTCTAGGGGCTTATTACTCTATTTTTATTCTTAAAACCCTTAATCTTATATACTAATAAATACTTCTTATTAAGTAACTAAAGCTATAGTATATAGTAATCTCTTATCCTATTAAAGAGTAGGTAGATTAGTAGGGTACTTAACTCCTATTAAAGGGTAGTAATTAGTATAGTTTTCTATACTAGGATAATACCTTAGATACTAAGTATTATATATTTTTATATCTTATCTAGCTACTTAAAAAGTCCTATCTTAACCTACTTAAAGGTCTTATCTTAGTTCTTTTTATAGGAGGGTTTTATACTACCTATATACTAGAGTTCTACCCTAAAGAGGAGTTTTAATAGTACTATAGTATAGAGGGCTTTCTTAGTAAAAATAGAGGTAATACCCTAAAGTACCTAGCTAAGTCCCTTAATATATCTAGTAAAAGTCCTTACTTTCTTTATCTATTCCTTAATATAGGTCTTAAATAAGAGTATAAAGTCTAGGTATATACCTAGCTACTTTATACTTTTCTTAATAGGTATTATAAGGTCCTTATAGTATAGAGTATCTATATATTTATCTTTCTTATAAGAAAAGAGAATAGCTTCTATCTTAATAGGGTCTAGGGTTACTTTACTATCTCTAGTAACCTTAATTACTTTATTAAGTTTCTCTTAGGCTCTAATAACTAGGTCTTATTAGTCTTAACCTATTACTAAAGTACCCCTATTATTAATATAGCTATACTAATAGGCCTCTTTATATAGGTATCCTATACTAAGGAGGAAGAGTATTAGTAAGATAGGTAAGCCTTATAGGAGACTATAGACTAGCTTAACTATATTTCCTTGGAAGTTATTGATCCAGATTTGTACCTTTCTGCTTATAAGGAAGGAGCCTATCTATATGATAATAGTCTTTATCGATGCTTTCTACTAGCTTCCTATTGAAATTCCTCTTTACCTTCTAAACTATTCTTTAAAACTCCTTCTTTAAGCTGCTTACTGCTATAGTATTCCTTTACACTTCTCTTACTATATAGCGTTATAAGGTCTAATATTCCTTATTCTACTATAATACCCCCTTTTTATCTTATATTAGTACTATTCTATATACCTTTAATATTAAGTTAAGGGCTTCTACTAAGTTAATAGCTAGGGCCTTAAGGCTTTATATAGATTTATAGTCTTTATCTTATAGTATTTAAGTACTATTTTTAAGATATTTAATAAACTTTAGGACTTACTCTTTTTAAAGATATAGTCTATTAGTAGGTTTTATTAGTAGTACTATATTTAGAATTATAGTAATTAGGGTTAAATAATCTAATAAGGTATATAGATATAGTAAAATACTTATATAAGTAAGGGGGATATTTAATACTATTAGGTCTAGTATATTATTAATATTATATATAAGGGTATTATTAGAGTTTAATACTTAAAGATTTTATTTAAAAAACTAACCTATTAGATTAGTTACTTTAGTACTTATAATTATACCTAGCTACTATTTATAGTAGTATATATTAAAGTCTCTAGTAATAAGAGTTTTTTTTAGTATAGTTTATTTCTTTAGGGTTTTAATAATATAGAGTTTATTATTATTATAGTATATATTTAGGAAATAGTATCTTAAGATTAACACTCTAACTATATCTTAATAGAGAGGGCTAAGGAGTTACTAGACTACTAGTTAATATAATTATTTTAAAATATAGGTAAGAACCTTTAGTTAGGTATTAATTCCTTTAGAGGCTAACTATTATTAAATAGGGGTAATATAGGTATAATCCCTATATATTACTATCTTTTAATTCTTTAAGAACTATAGCTCCTATAGGAGTATAATATTAGCTTTAATTTCTTTAGTAAATATAAGTATATAGTTATATATACTAATAGCTTTAGTAATATTAACTTAAAAAATAGTTAGGTATTCTATTATTAAGAGGATTTTAATACTTTTTTTATAGCTAACTAACTATATCTACTCTTTTAAGTAGGTATAGGTATAGGGGGTTTAGTATCTATAGAGAATAGTAATATTATATTAATATTAAAGAAAAGGCTACCTTTACTTACTAGTATAGCTATTACTACTATATTAATCTACTCTATACCCTAGATATTTATAGCTTTATCTTCTATAGGCTCCTTAGGGGTAGTAGTATCTTTAGCTTAAACTATAGAGTTACTATCTATATTATAGTCTACTATATTAAAGGCTATAGATAAGTTATTATCTATTTAGTTTAAGCTAGGGTTTAGGTAGGCTTACTAGGTAAGTTAGCTTTAAATAGTATTCTTAAGGAGAACTGCCTTAAATATTATAGTTCCTTTCTATTATATAGCTTTTAGCTAAGGTTTTATAGGTTTATTAATATTACTACTTTTATTAATCTTAGGTTTAGTTAAATAGGTTTTATTATCTACTAGGTATAGTTTATAGTAGTTAGTATATTATAGGCTAGTATAGTACTAAGGGGCTTTATATCTATCTTTACTATAGTTAAAGTAGATCTTATAGGTTTAGTAGATATATAGGTTATATTATTACTTATATACCTTATATAGTTATATCTTAATAAGTAGTTTTATTAATCTTATTAGCTTACTATTAAAGATCTAGAAAGGTAGTACCTTTAAGGTAAATTTAATAATAATTATCTAATAGTCTTACCTCTTTATAGTAAGGGTTAGTTAGAACTACTTTAAGGTAATTCCTATTATAATCTTAATAGTATCCTTAATAAGGAGGGAAGTAGTAATAGGTATACTAGTCTAGTTTATAATAACTTATAGGATAGACTTAAGTATATAAATAGTTTAAGACTTAGATTTTTTAATATAAGTTATATTAAGTAATTAAGATAGCTAAGGGTTACTATTAAGTATAGCTATACTAACTTATTAGTTTCTAGGGGTAATAGTAATACTAGAAGGTATTTAAGAAATCTAGCTAATATTCTTAGTCTTAATCTTATAAACTTTTATAATTTTCTAATAGATATAGTAAAGATTAATTATCTATATCTTAGCTCCCTTTAGGATTTAAATAAGGATTTAGTTATCTAGCTAATAAGGTCCTTATAATCTACCTTATATACTAGTCTATCCCTTTCTAATAACTAGAATATCCTTCTATAAGTTTCTAGGTTTAATTAGTTATTATTTATAGCTATAGCTAGTACTAAGTAATTCTAGTCTTCCTTTTATAGCTATATCTTTATAAGATATTAAAGGATTTAGGGTTTTAACTATACCTAAGATAGGTATAGGTTTATTATACTTAGTTAAGTTAATAACCTTCTTAATAGTAATATTAATAATATCTTAGTATCTCTATACTACTTTAGTATCTTCTAGCTTATTAAACTAGCTTAAAGATATATTTAGAGTAGTAGCTAGGACCTTTTTTACTTTATAGAGAGATTAGTATATATAAAAGGCTTAATTAAGGGTAGCTTTAATTAGTATAGTAAAGTAGGTAATAAGATTAATAAAGATAAGTTTTAATATAGGTTAGTAGTTATTCTTATTATCTTAAGCTCTTTATCTTTAAAGGTTATCTTTAGAATATACTCTCTTATTAAAGACTAAACTATACTCTTTTTAAAGGGAGTTAAGATCTCTTTAACTTAGCTAGAGGGTTAAATATTCTATTATTTATAAGGGGATAGGCTCTATTAGTTATAAGACTAGTAGTATACCTATAGTGTTAGCCTATATAGCTAGAAGAAAAAAGGGGGGTTTTAAAGCTTATTAAGCGTAAGGTAATATCTTACGTGGGGTACTAATAGCCCCACTAATAAGGAATTTAATAGAGGGGAGAGTTGAAGCGCATCCTCATGTTCAATCTCCCTGGTCGAAAATATGATGCACCCAGTATTTGCGTTGATGTTAAGCGGGCGACGGCTGCTATGGAAGAAGGACCGCTTGCCGGACAGCTCGTCCCCGCAGCCGACGTGGAATGTGACAATGTTCAGGTCAGGCACGTTCCATGTCCGGCGAGCAACTTCAAACGCCTCCCTGTTGGAAAAACACACACGCATCTGCTCGGCCCTGGATGACCTGGAACAGTCCACGCTCTTCAGGTGGCTGGTGTGGTCTAGGACGACAGTTGTCGGATAACTCTGCCTCTGTTGAAAGGACAAGCAGACTTGACGTAATTGCTGGATGTCATAAAATCATGGATATCAGAGTTTGGAAGGCTGGCCAGCCTCCCTGACTTCGTCAGGTGGCTGGGACGCCTTCTTCAAACTTAGATAAATGACGTGAACCCGTCTAGCAGATTAGAAGGAAAAAAAAAAAGAGGGCTTTTCAAGAACAACAGAATCAATGACAGCTAACTGCCTCACATAACGTGACAACAGTAGGACGGACAAACTTCGCCGCGAGGCTGCCATGCTTGGACCCATGCATGGCGGCTGGAAGAGAGAAGCAAGCACATTAGTTTCCTAATTAAAACGTTTTCAATTTTTGCATTCGGGTTGGACTACTTACGGCGATGCCCCTCCTGTGAATAGTAGAGTACATGCTCGAGCTGAGGCTCTACATGCATGAGATGGTCAGCGTCGTGGTCGGGACGGTGACCTGGATACAGTGTAATCCCATCGCCTGTGCAGGACGGGTGAAACTGAAGCAGGCCGTGTCTAGCCAAATGAAGGTTGCCAGATGCAATACTAGCGGCGAGAGCCAGCACGACCAGACCGACAGCATGTTTCCGTAACATTTCGCAGACCTTGGGGTATGGAATGTGCATCACCCTCAATTATTCGGGGGCGACTCGCATGGTTTAAATAAAAACACGAGGTTTATGGTTCTCGGTGAGACGATGGTAATTTCGCAGCATGGAGGCCTCGGCCACGGGCTATGCCCTCCTCTGGGCACCGTGTAGGCGGAGCCTTGCACGCACAATACTACAGTATCGTGAATCCAGTCTCTCCTGTCTTAGTCGGTAATTATATCTTGACGCAGTTATGAGGGTATAAAGCATGTACCGAGGATGGTTTGAGGTCGATCAATGCATCCTTAGCTTGCTTTGCTTTTTGTGGCTCAGCGCACAGATAGGCAGAGCTGCAAGGAGGTAAAACTGAGACCGCCGCGGTTGACGCGGCAGGGAATCAATCTATTGGGTGTGTGATGAGTCTTGCAACGGCATTTATCAACGGCTCATTTCGGGTAGGGCTAAGAATTGTCAAACGGGTAGTTGAGAGGGTCCAATTCCCCCCGATGCTGTTTTGCAGCCAAAGCATGTCCTAGACATGCGAGGACGATAACTTCACTTCCTTCCATTTTGGGTTATATAAACAATCGATTGAACACTGGGCGCGTCGCGTTACGTACAGGCAACCATGAGTACGGTATCGTTTGCATTTGCATTGTGTGGCTGATGTAGCGTGCCGTTCCATAATGCGCAGGGCGCGGAGGCCGAAGCCATGGCCATGTTCGACTGCCGAAATGAGAAAGAGTATGAGTTCAATTCTTGTCTTCCACTGATCTACAGATATGTCTTTTCGTGAGTTTATAAAGGACTGTATGTACCGAAACATACACAGCTCCAGACAGCGTGACGTAGCCCAAGACAGTTGAAATGCTATGACGTCCAGCCCGGCTGACGCATCACTTGAGATTCTTTCCTCCAGCTCTGCGCGGCCCGACCATCGTCCGGGTTGGCTTCCATGGTTTAGGCTTGCTTTTCGCGAAATAGCTTCATCACCTGCAAATGCTGTAGCGATTTCTAGATAGCCAGGGAGCCGGGTCTTGATTTTATTTATTGTAGGTTTTTCATGGGCACGAGCCTGGTGAGTCGGGTACATCGCCGCTCGACATTTGACATTCTGTAGGAAAGCTTTCTGAGGGTGTAGTCCGGGCAAGGGCATGCTAATAAATACCCGATCCAGGGCCGTACCAGGGGTCAGACATTGGGTCAACCAAGGCTTCGGCAAATTCGAATAAACCATAATGCGCCTTGTACCAAAATGGCGATCCAACGATGAGCCGTTGTAGGCGGCGCACCTCCGCCTCCCTCCCGCATACTTACCCTGTACTTTTGGCAGGGGACACTGGCAGTCGAATCTGACGGTGACTTGGACACACCCGCACCAATTACTGCGCCCTCGAGACCAGATCAGATTTTGGCGATATTGAGAACCCACGGTTCCATATTCAAGAGTGGCTTGTATGGAGCAATTCGGTGCTTCCTTTTTGCCTTCACAGTCTTGTATTTGCCACGGGGAAATGCAGGGCATTACATGACTCCATACGCGACTGATAGATACTCTTTCTAGTGCTGGAGTTATTGAGTACTCTGGCTAGTTTTGGACTCGGGTAGATAGAAGACTACAAAGCCGGAAAGAGAGCCAACGGTAGATTGCTTAGCAAATAATTCTTTTGATCAAGCTGATGGCACTGCAAAAGAGCCATTATTGGTGCAGATATGTCAGAATAACAGCCGGATTCGACCACGTAGCATTACATCCAGACAGTCTTTAGAGTCGCAGAACATCTCCTGGCGCTACCTACCCCACAGGTTTAACAGTGGCCACTTTTGTTCTTGCTGAACCAAAGGTGACACTCGTTTGCCCTCTCCTGTAACGAAAGACATCTTGCTTGGCCAGTAAACCATGCACGGCCGGCGTGGCTCGTTGATCAGTCACGCGCCAGATCTCGCTCTCCTCCAGGCCCAAATATAGCGTCCACATCAGCCGAGCGCCAAGAACCACCCCTCCCAGCTTTCGGATACTGTGCCGAACCAGGAAAAAAATGTTCCAGGAAAAAAATGGATAAAGTACTATGAGAACGGATCCCTGGACCACAACTACGCCGAAGAGTACCTTTTCGCTTGCGTGTACATGCGCCGCTTCTCACTCTCTGGGGGGTGGCAGCTTTCGACTAGGCTCGACTACAACCACGCCAGAAAGTGCCATCTCGTTCGCGTGTACATGCGCCGCTTCTCACTCTCTCACGGGAGGCAGCTTCCGGCTAAGTCGAGTACTCTCCACTGGTCCTATTTTGGCGCTCAGCAACAGCCCCTGGCCGCTGTGCTGCACAGTGGATGCATGGGCGGAGCCGGCTGCGACCACAAAGGAGCAAAACTGTCTTCCGCAGTAGATAGACGTGGGCATAGCATGAGTCTCCATGGTAGGTGGTGATGGTGGAGAGGAACATATTGTCGCGTTGTGACTGCGCTGTTCGCCTGTGGTCTCTTATACGCATTTGCTGCGACGAGTTGCTGCGGTAGAATGTGGCCGTTTCCAGCGGCTGAATGCTTCTTATGCCTACATAAGAGCTATGCTCTCCTACGCAAGGCTGGAGGCTGGATGCAGAGACGGGCAAATAGATAGCCATAACCAGCAGTATGTGAACTGCGCCGCGCTCAAGCGAGCACACTGATCTTCCTCGCTCTGACATGCCTTCCAGTATACCAATCGTTTTCTTCCGTTAGCGACAGCGACTCGGGCTCCGAAAGTTCTGCTCTACGTCTCCTCCCTTGGTGTAGATGTCAGAGTTGGGGTTGAGAATATCTCTCTGTAATTGGTCCACAAGTGCTTTTGGATAGTACAGCTTTGCAATGGTAGTGATGTATCCCGTGGTGGCTAGCCTGTCGTAGGGAACCAGCTTGGTGACCTCTATCGCGCTGCGCTGGACGGTCCCTTGTGCCAAAGCGGCCGGTAGCATTTGGAATATCTGTGCCGCAGCTGTAATTCAGCGGGGGAAGAAAACCGACTTGAATAAGATTACTATCGGTCAAAGGACTGCTGGAGCTACCCTACCAGGCAAAATGACGCGTGGCAACCCCGTCACAGATGCCTGGATTTGGCCAGACGGAGACGCTTGGGTAGGTACCTCGGTGAGGATTGTGGAAGGGGTTGCCCCACCCCGGGAGAGCGTGATTGCGCTTGCCGTTATGCGGCTAGTGAAACTACCTGGTATGGTCTGGCTGGTGCCGCCGCCGGCGGTCGTGTTCTCAGCTGCATTCTCATGAACTCGGTCTCCGGAGGGCGCAGGTGCAGGTGCGGGGACGGTCAGCAGACTACTCTGTACGGTTGTGTTCGCATCAATCGCCACGATATGTATAGCCGTCTGTGGCTTGGATGTGAGGGCAGGAATAGATGCCGTCGTCGCTGTCAAAGGCGGGAGAGAAGTGTCAACAATCTCCGAGGCACGATGCGATGGGGACATGACGTTCTGAGTAGCTGTATTATGTGCGGTGCGGGACAGCGTGCTGTCGAGCGTCGGCGTCCCAGTGCTGCCTGGAGTCTCGGTGATAGATTGGCTGACTGTGGTAGGGTTGGCAGAATAGAGAGAGGATGGCTTTAAAAAGTCTGCGAGAAAGTTTGTGGACGGTGTGTTCGGGACACTGGTGCTCGTCGGGGGCCGACTTGGCTCAGGTTTGTGCGTGATTGTGCTTGCCGGGCCTGCACTGTCCTCGCTTTCGGATTGAGTTGAGCTTGGACGATGCAGTGCTGTGGTCACCTCTGTGGGAGCTGCGGACTCTGTTATAGAGCTGCCTAAGCTTGACCTACCCTGTGAGGTAGTCACATGCCCGGAATTTGTTGGCTCTACTGCCGGGTTGCTGGTCAAACCTAGACTACCCCCGACAATAGTCAAAGGATCAGAATGTGTCGATTCTACTGCACGAATGCTGCTCGAGCTTAGACTGCCCTGCACTATGCTTAAATCGCTGGGGTTTGTGTGTACCGTCACCGGGGTGCTGCTCGAGTCCAGATTTACAAGCGATGGATTTTGGTCACTGGACGTTGTCAATGGGGTTATAGGGTTGCCACCTGTTGTGTTGCGGAACAGCAGGCCGCCTGCGCTACGTGGCGCTGCGCCTCGTAGGTAAAAAGCTGTGATGAGGCGCGTTATTGCAGCCAAATAAAGCAAAAGCTTCATTTGCGATTTCCCATGCCTCTGACCGAGGCCTGTTGGGCGTGTCATGCCGGTCGAAGGGGCAGTGTGCACTTATAAGTGTTTCCATGGAGCACTCTCGCATGCATAGCTGTGCCAGCTTTACGCGGTTCAACAAGTAGAATGCGGGTGCTTTTCTGTACTGTCCGCGTGGTGAGCCGATTTTGGCCTCGGGCGCAAAGTTATGACGTGAAATAGTCAAGAGCCAGAAATGGATTGTCGTATAACTCAGTGAACACTCTTATCAAGTGCATATCAATACAAGAGTGCTGACATGCTGCTGACCAGCATGCAGTTTTCTCGTTCCATAGATATAAGGAGCGAACTAACAAAATAGATAAGCAAGGAATAGCAGCCGGCAGTTTACAAACTGTACGGCAAGTCTCGTTGATTCGACTGTTCGTGTCATGGCCTCACAATCTTCCCTTCTGCGCCATCGGCGTCGCCCTCGACTGACAAAGATCTCCGCCACTGGGAATAATGCTATCGGACCAGTAGTGCCCACTTTTGCACCTTTCGATCGACTTCTTCATCGTGCCAGTTGCTGGAAACAACCGGGCTTCCAGAGGCTGAGCACGGAGTAACGGAAGTGGAGAGATACTGCGTTTCGTTAGCATGCATGACGGGTCGGAAGCAGCGTGCTTGGTATATTGGCTTGCCATCTAGAGCGACGTAGACCGTGGGACTTTTTGGTTCTTCGGTGACCAGGTTCTGACTTCCTCTCACTTCTTCCCCTAAGTCCTTCCTCAGCATTTTCTGCTGGAACTACCGGAAAAGGAACTGGCTCAGACCTCGCCACCGCGCCAGAAGGTACTTTGCTGTATTTGTCTTCTCGTTCACGCAGGATTCGTGTAACCCACTCCCTGGCGTTTTCCAATGCAGCAGCTGGGGAGTTACGGTACTGTGCGAGGTACGACGTGATCTGCGCACAGCTGAACGCGAATTCTGGAACAAGAGCAGCAAACTCTGTGGCGCATCGTGCTAACACATTAGCTTGGAAAGGTTTGGCCCCGGCAACAGGTTTGTACATAAATTTGAACAACTTTGCCGCCATAATGGCGTCCGCCAAGTTGAAATCGACTTTCAAGTCAATGCGACCCGGTCTGGTGAGAGCCTCGTCCAAATGCTTAATATAATTAGTTGTCATGATCAGAATCCGGCCTTCCCGAGAAGCGACGCCATCAAGCGTGTTCAAAAGTCCTGATAATGACACCGGATGTTTGCGCTGTTTCTGTTCCTCCCCACTCCGCGACCGATCTATTGCTACAGGATCTATGTCCTCTAGCAAGACAACGCATCTGTCTGGAAGCTCATTGAACAATTGCGCAAGAGTTTGATCGTCGACTCCTGGAATGTTGACAATGTATATATCCATCCCAAATTCGCCCGCGATCGTAGAGCTAAGGCTTGATTTGCCGGTGCCGGGTGGTCCGTAGAAAAGATAGCCGCGCCGATATGGGAGTCCTTTCTGACGGTACCATTCTCGGGTTGTCGGGTCGACAAATTCTCGCACATCGTTAAGCAATACTTCCTTCTGCTGTTCCGGGAGCATGACAGTAGAGAGTGGCCGAATTTCTTTTGTTACCCTTTTCTTCCAAAAATCACCACGATTTTCAAAAATAGTGATTTTGGCCTTCATTATTCTGCAGGTATTCGCGTCGACACTGGTCCAGGAGTCTGGTTAGAATGTGGCCGGACCTTCCAATGCAGGTGATGGAGACTATTTCTTTGCTGAAGAACCCAGTGACAACTGTTTCGGCTTGATAGTAGAGGATGTGATTTTCGAATCTGAACGGGAAGCTACCCTTCCCTGGAGAAAGGGAGATGGGCTTTTTGACAAGGCCAGAATCGCTCTTTTGGTTGGCCCATGCAACACTCACGCGGGCAATTCTCGATCTTGCAGCCTCGTTGAGTCCATGAGAGGAAACCCATGCCATCAGCATATCGTACATCTCATCCGTGCTTTCCACGCTCACAGTCGTAGCTCGGATATGTTAGAAATTTGATCGGCACCAATGGGTGTTGGTACTAACTAAAGTACGCGACGAACCATGCCTGAGCCTGATAAGCGTACGACTTCAAAATCGCAATAAATCCAAAGACGAGCATGAGCGGGCCGTAACTGTTAATACCCAAAGCAAGAAGCTGCGGCATTGCCGAATCGAAAGCCTCTGGGATCGGGAGATCCGTTATACCGAAAGGTTTTGGCGTTGATGGAGCCCGGGTGTACAAATTGCCTGCCTTACGTGTTGCGTTCATGTTGAGAGTTTTCTGTAGGTACTAGAAGAGCCGAGGAATAAGAAGAAATTTGCAAAGTGCCGCATATGTGAATTGCTTGAAACAGGGGGGTGACATACCGGGGATAGATAGCTTTTTATACATGAGCTGTACGAGACTATTCACTTGACAGGAACCGTTTTAGCAGACATGACGGACTTCGAGTACCCCTGGCTAACACTCCGTCGTGTTCAGATAGTGCAGGATGAGTGGTCGCTTCTGCAATATGCATGCACACTGTTTGTGATACATCATAGGCTGCTCTGGATCAAGAGACCCGCATGCAGGAGCTGACATTGCTACGAGTCTACCAAGACATTTCTGCAAGCCATACCACATATCGTGCGAGCTTGAGCTGAGGGGTGGGTTCTCTTTACATGCATGCATTGTGTGCCTCGTGTACCCTTGATGTACCTTGTGTACCCTATGATGTACCGTGTATAACCTGTATATTGCCTGTCTAATCTGTGTACCCTGTGTGCCCTGTGTGCCCTTGCTGTCCCCTCGCCATGTGCACATGTCTCAGCTGTCCTTTATGGCAGGATCAATGTGGCCGGATGTGCTCTATGTGAATCTTGTTAAATTGCAAATACAAGTTTTTACACCCTGCTAATAAATTTGTTGAATGGTTTTCTTCATGCGAAGGTTATACTTAGTTCGAACATGCCATAATTAGCAAATTTAACGGTTGGGCTAGTAGGTCTACTATAGAGGCCCCTTATTAGGGACTAAAAGTCTATTATAGTATCCTTAAAGTTTAGTAAGTATAAATAGTTATAAACTATATAACTATATCTTTATTATATTTAGATTTTATACTTAAAGCTAAGGCTTCTATTAAGTAAACTAGGTTTTATCTTATTAAGAATATTAATAAGGAAGCTAATACTAAGAATATTATAAGAAAGAGTAAATATTTTACTTAGTTTTATAATACTAAATACTATATTAAGATACTATAGGAATTAGACTTTATCTTTTAAAATACTTAGGGTAATATAGTATATTTTAATAAAAGCCTTTTATATTACTATTTAATATTATAGAAAATATATTTAATTATACTATTTATTATTATATAGCCTTACTAGGGCTATTTTTAATATTTTAGTACTTAACTATTCTCTAAATATACTTAGTTTTTATAATAAAAATAAAAAAATAACTATAAAGTAATTTATACTCTTTTAGTATAGTTTTAAATATATAGATTTAGAGTAATATACTATAAGGGCTTATAATTATAATTCTTTAATACTAAGAAGGATTTTAATAATTAGGAGGTCTTAAAAATACTACTAAATAATATAAGAAAAGAGGGTATTATAATAAGGATTAAAAATATACTAAATAGTAAATAGTAGGTTTACTAATTCTAAATAATATATATATTAGCTAATTATAATAAGTACTATTATTAATAGTTAACTAGGTTAGACTTATAAGGGTAGAGGTTTTATAAATATTGGTTTAGATAGTAATAAGGAAGTAGTAAAGTAGGGTAAGATAGAACTACTAGATATAGAGGCTCTTTATATAAAGGTTGCTAAACTAGAGAATTAAGGATTCTAAATAAATTTTATTTATCTAAATCTTAATATATTAGGTATAGTAAATAACTAGCGATAGGAATAAAGAAATATTGCATATCTTAAATAGCAGGGCCTAGGGAATAAAGAACATGCCTATATTTTTGCTTTGTATGATAGAGCTCTATTATGCGAGACGCCACGATTCTGAACTCTCCGTGGCAATGCTCTGTGCCGTGGCATGCGAGTTATCAGTGTACATAAACGATCCATCCATCGTATTTCTTGTGAAGCTCGAGCCTCTTTTCGCCATAGTAGTGTTTTGTGATATTGGATATTGGCCATCTGGATACATAAATGATCCATCCATTGTATAGCTTAAAAAACTAGAGCCTCTTATCGCATGTGAGCTGCTCCTCGCTGTTGAGGGCTGATTGTTCGCGAAGATTGTACTTAGGGCGTTGGTGGCCGAAACCGGATTACCTATTGCGGGATACTGATCGTCATAGTACGTGGTTGGTTCGTTCGTTGTTTCGTTCAAACCGCTTGGTTCTATAGAAGCCGCGTGCATGTCCGGCACTATCGAGTGCTGGTTGTTTTCAAGATATGCAAGCATCTTATCGATTTTCTCGCTTATGACTTCCGGATCTCCCATGCCTGTCGTGACATTGTTCTGCGCCCTTCCCTAATTATCTCCAAAGTATAATAGGGGATTAGCATTTATTAAAGTCCTTAGTGCCTATAATTGCTATTTATTATTATCTACACTACTATATCTACTATAGAATACTATACTAGTAACTATATTTACTATACCTATTATACTAGACTTTCTAATAGGACCTAGTAATACTTTATAGAAAGCTTTTTGAAGAATTATTAAGGTAATAAAGAATATTAATATTATAATTATTAATAAAAATAATATTATAGAATATTAATAAAAGTAATACTTAAATATAATTAATACTTTATAATAGATTTAAGCTAGATATTATTACTATATAGAAAATACTTAATAATAAATCTTTCTTAGCTTTAGTATTAATATTATATTAATACCTTTAAGATAGTAAAAGAATAATAATCTATATATATAAAAGAATTAATATAAAGAATTATATAGTCTTTTTAAAAAAGAATAGCTATTATATTATTTTTTTTAATTTTCTAGTTTATTTCTTTAATATTTACTTTAAACTTAAAGTAAATCTTTAAATAAAAAGTTAATATATATAATAGTTAAGGATTTTAATATTTACTATTTACTTTAAAATATTTATAAATAGACCTTATTATTAATAAAAAGAATCTTAATAGCTTTTAACTAGCTTAGAATAGTATTAGTTACTTTTTAAAGAATAATTACTTAGGAAAAGTTTAGTAAGAGGTTAAGTATATTAAACTTAGTTTAGTACTTTCTAGATTTAAAAGGTAAGATACTAAAATCCCTAAAGAACCTAGTTAAATTTAATTATTACTCTTAGCTAATAAATATTAGATTTTTTACCCTCTTCCTTATAACTATATACTAAGCCTAATATAAAATAAATATAGATTTTATATAAGTAAAGGTTATTATTAGGCTTTTTTTTAATTATAATAAGCTTAAATAGTTATTTATATTAGTAAATATTAATATAGCTTTTAAAAATTTAAATAGAATTCTAAAAAGAATTTTATTAATAAATATTCCTTTTTAATAACCCTTATAAGGCTAGGTAGCCCTTTAGTAAATACTTAAAGTTATAATAGTAATAAAGAAAGCTAAAAAGCTTTATAAATAAGCCTAATAGGTTAGAATTAAAATAAATTAAAAAAGAGTATATTAAATAGCTACTACTTAAAATAAAGTAGTTTAAAAAGCTAGAAACTAGGCTTAAAGAGTTTACTTAGATATAATTATATAAATACTAAATAGTTTATAAAGATATTATTAATAAGTAAAGAAATATATAAAAAGTATAGGTTTTAATATAGTTTTTTTATTTAAAAAAGAAAAGAACTTCTTAATAGTTAAAATAAAAAAAGAAAAGGTTAATATTCTAATTAAAAAGTTCTTTCCCTTTTTCTTAATAGATTTTATTAACTCCTAACTCTTAATAAATAAGGTTTTAAAGTAAAATATAAATATAATATTAAAAAATATAAATATAAAATAGGTTTAGTTTATACTAGTAAGCTATATATTATAAAATACTCTAGGTCTTAATAGAATTCTTTATAAGTATAGATTCTTTAAAACTCTTAAGAAATTACTAACTTTTTATCTTACTATACTTTATATTACTTATATTTAGATTAAATACTTTCTAAAGAAATACTAGATAGGAATTATAATAGTTATATAAAAGCTAGATAAGATAGAATAGAAGTACTAAATAGTAAGAAGCTAAAAGCTAATTACTTTTTTAAATACTATTAGAAAGCTTTTTAAGAAGATTATAATAAATTAAGTTATAAAAGTAATAGAATTATATAGTCTTTTTCTAAATAACTAAATAGGAAATTAGTATTAGTAATTAATAAAAATAGTAATTATTTTAATAATTAAAATAGTTTAAATTATATAATATTAAAATAGCTTTATTTTAATACTTTAGCTAAATATTATAAGTATTTTTAATAATATAGTTTACTTAGTAATAATAACTATTTTTTAATATTTAAAGTTCTTTTTTATTATTCTTATTTTATTAAAAACCTACTTTTAAAATAAAATAATATAGATTTATTTAGATAAATCCTTATTAAATACTTTCTAGATTTAATAAGGAGTTTTATAAAGCTTTTTCTTATTATTAATACTATTTATTCTTTTTTTATTATCTTTATACTAAACCTTAGCTAAAATCTAAAAAATAATAACTATAGGTTTTATTAATAATATAAACCTTTTTAATATAATAATTATTTAGAATTAAGTTATAGCCTAATTATAATAAGTATAAACTATTTATATTAAGTAGTTAGTAATTTATATTTTAATATTCTTTATTTTAAAGTTTTAACTTTTTATTTTTAATATAAATATACTATAATTCTAAAAAGCCTTTAACTTAAAAACTACTAACTAAAACTATAAATAGTAATTAAGCTTTTAAAAGTCTAGCTTATATTATTATTAATATAAATAATATATATTATTAAGGTTAAATTAAAAGTACTTTCTATTTAATAAGCTTTTAAAATCTTAATTAAAATAGTTTAAAGCCTTTAATTAAGCTATACTAAAGAATTTTACTTTTATATTATTTAACTAATTATAGTATATAGTCTTATTACTTAATATATACTAAAAAATAAACTAGTTAGTTTAGTTATTACTTTTAATATACTATAAATAATCTATCTTTATATAGTAATTAAAGTATTTTAAATTATAACTATTTACTATATTAAGATTAAACTTAATATACTATCTATTTATTTTTACTTTACTACTTATAAAGC